CCCGGCTAATTTTTTTTTTTTTTTATTGCAGTTTGGCTGGGGCTGGGTTTAAACCCGCCACCCTTGGTATATGGCACAGGCACCTTACCCACTGAGCCACAGGCGCCGCCCAGGGTTTCACTTTTATTTTCAGTGTTTTATTTTTAAAAAAGATTTGAATGGGCAGAGCCTGTAGATGACAATTGCAACAAAAAATAGCCGGATATTGTGGTGGGTGCTTGTACTTGGGAGGCTGAGTCAAGAGAATCGCTTGAGCCCAAGAGTTTGAGGTTGCTATGAGCTGTGATGCCAGGTTACTCTGCCCAGGGCGACAGCTTGAGACCCTGTCTCAAAAAAAAAAAAAAAAAAAAAGATTTGAATGGTTCAGCGCCCGTAGTTCAGTGGTTATGGCACTGGCCACATACACCGGGGCTGGCAGTTTGAAACCCAGCCCAGGCTTGCTAAACAACAATGACAACTATAGCAACAACAACCAACAAAAAATAGCTGAGCATTATGTTCAGTGTCTGAAGTCTCAGCTACTTGGGAGGCTGAGAGGCAAGAAAATGGCTTAAACCCAAGAGTTTCAGGTTGCTGTGAGCTGTGACACCATGGCACTCTACCAAGGGCAACATAGTGAGACTGTCTCAAAAAAAATTTTTTTTGAAGCGAATGTAGTAAATTGCAGGCTTTTATGTAGCTGTATGGTAGCTGCATCTAATTTTCTGTGTGCTTGAAATATTTATTTTTTTATTTTTTAAAGTTTAGTAAGACTTTCATTTTATTGGCAATAGATATTAGGTTTTCTTTTTAAAATTTTTATTATTTTTGTATTTTTTGTTTTTATTAAATCATAACTATGTACATTGATGCATTTATGGGATTCAGTGTACTGATTTGGTATACGATGTGAAATGGCTTACATTGAACTGATTAACACATCCATCACAAGTATATTCTTTTCTTAATAGTTTTAAAATGTACCATTGCATCATGCACATTAGGCGAGGTCCCCCCAAATACCCTCCCTCCTCCTGCCTTCCACCTCCTCTTCCCTCTCTCTCCTCTTCCTTCTACTTTCTGGACTATTGTAGCCGAGCCACATTAAAGGCTGCCATAACTTTGTTCTTAATTGAAACTATCTCAAGGTCTGCAGGAAGGGATATTCCTTTAAAGACCCTCTGGAGAGATTAGAAAACTAATCTAGTGGGAGGCAGGCACTGAAAACAGAGCATGCTGTATTCAGGAATTTCCTGGAAGAGATCTGAGTAGCTGGTAAATCAAGATAAGGTTATTGTGCTGCTAAGTTAAAGAATACGTCTGTTCTTCACGGATGAATACTTTGTTCTTTGAAGCAAAAAGAGATGAATAAGGCTCTTGACTTTTTTGCGACTTTATTGTATTGTAATTTTAAGATTATGTGTGTGCTTGCAGAATGCTTTATTGTTAGGGTATATGAGTGAGTGAGAAATAAACCAGGGTCGCTGTGTGCCTGAGAGAGCTGCGGTCCCTTTCTCTTCCAAGACATTCTGACTGCTAGTTTACCTTTGCAACTCCAGCCCGATCAATTCACGCAACAACTATAGTTATGTTTTACGATCCCTATGAACGTGAAGGTGATTATATATTGAGTTCGTAATAGTATCGAGTACATTGGATACTTGTTTTTTGTTTGTTTTTATTAGATCATAACTTTGTACGTTGATGCATTGATGGGGTTCAGTGTACTGATTTGATAGACGATGTGAAATGCTTACATTGAACTAAGTAACACATCCATCACAATTATGCTCTCATCTCAATAGTTTTTAAATCTACTATTGCATCATGCACATTAAATGAGGTCCCTCCAAATACCCTCCCTCCTCTCCCCTCCCCTCTTTCTCTCCTCTTCCCTTCTACTTTCTGGACTATAGTTATGTTTTACCATTCATATGAATGTGTAGGTGATTATATATTGATTTCATAGTAGTATTGAGTGCATTGGATACTTTTTTCCATTCTTGTGGATATTCCCCCCCCCCCGTTCTTGAGATACTTTACTAAGAACAATATGTTCTACCTCCATCCATGTAAACATAAAAGATGTGAAGTCTCCATTTTTTATGGCTGTATAGTATTCCATGGTATACATACACTATAATTTGTTAATCCATTCATGGGTTGATGGGCACTTGGGCTGTTTCTGTGTCTTGGCAATTATTAATTGGACTGCAATAAATATTCTGGTGCAAATGTCTTTGTTGTAAAATGATTTTTCATTGCCTGAGTATATACCTAGTAGAGGAATTGTAGTATCGAATGGTAGGTTTACTTTGAGTTCCTTGATTAGTCTCCAAACTTCTTTCCAAAGACCTAATACAATTTTTATTTTTTTTGAGACAGAGCTTCATGCTATTCCCCCTGGGTAGAGTGCCCTGGCATCACACTCACAGCAACCTCCAACTCCTGGGCTCAAGCGAGTCTCCTGCCTCAGCCTCCCAAGTA